ACTCTTTAGTCGAAGTAAGGACATCGGCTAAAGAGTGGTTGGCTGGATTAAACCAACTCTTGGTACTCTTCAGCCGAAGTAAGGACATCGGCTAAAGAGTGGTTGGCTGGACTAAACTAACTCTTGGTATTCTTCAGCCAAAGTAAGGACATCGGCTAAAGAGTGGTTGGCTGGATTAAACCAACTCTTGGTACTCTTCAGCCGAAGTAAGGACATCAGCTAAAAGGTGGTTGGCTGGATTAAACTAACTCTTGGTACTCTTCAGCCGAAGTAAGGACATCGGCTAAAGAGTGGTTGGCTGGATTAAACCAACTTTTAGTACTCTTCAGCCGAGGTAAGTATCTCGGCCAAAGAGTGGTTGGCAGGAATACTTATAGTGGCAATGATTAAAGTATCTCGGCAAGAGAATGCTGAACCTCATGCAAGACATCAGTTAGAAAGTAAAAGCACAAGCACAAAGATCAACCGAAATAAGAGTTTGAACAAAAAAGAAGCATTCATTCAAAGTTCATAAGTACACAAGGATGTTACGACAGCCCGGTTCCAATTGTACAAAGGTTAAAAAAAAAAAAAAAGAGTACAGAATCAAACAAAAAGGTCGTCTATTTCCGCGTCAAGTACAACTCGGAGTCCAGTTTCATCTGGTAGCCTGGTCTCATCTAGTATCTCGGTCGTCAGATCTTCAACCGGTGGCTCCAACTCAGTTAACTGAACAACAGGTTCATTACCGACCGGGGCATTTTTTAGAACGACCGGAGCATTGTCTAGCTCGGTTTCTTCTTCATCATCCTCAGACTGAAAAAACTGTTGCTGAACGGACACGGCGTACTCCGTCATCGAACTCGAGATAAAATACGGAGGAGGGTTGAAAACCTCGATCTCTGGTCCATGACCAAGCTGGGCCACGACAGCCCTCCATCCGCATTTAAAGAACAAGTCTTTGGCTGCCTCACATTGCTTAATGTAAAGAGCCTCCTCCACCTTGAAACCTTGAGCATTCGCGTCATCTGCCTTCTTTTGCAGCTCAACGATCTCAGCGTTCTTCTTGCCTTCAAGCTTGGCCAGCTCACGCAGGTACTTGTCTTTCATCGCGGTCAGGGACCTCTGTATATCAGCATTAGCCGAGGTAACTAGTCCGGTCAGACGGGTTACCTCGGCCTCTAGCTCGGCCGTTTTCAGTTGAGATGCTTTTAGCTCGGCCGTTTTGGCCTCAGCTTCTGCCATGGCTTGCCTTATAGTCTTACGAAGTTCCAACACACGCTTATGAGCGATGTGATTCTTTTGCATGGCCTGCAAAAGAATGGGAAGACTTGTAAAAAAAACGGAGATGAAAGTTGTGCGAATTAGAAATATTAGCCAAAAAACTACTTACAAGCACCATGGATTTAGTGGCCGAGCGGATAGCCTTTAACTCGGTCAAGTGGTTGTGGTGCTCCATGTCTGCTGGAAGGCAAACACTCTTAACAAGGTTGAATGCCATTAAGTGATCCTTTTCAGCGACCATTGAATCAGTATCCTGGATAGCCCGGTTTTGGAAAGAAATCTTTGGAGCCCACTTAGAAGAGCTAGCACAGTCTGTACGCTCCGGTTGAGGGCTCGGTGGAGGAGTTGTTAGAGTGGTTTGTGGAACCACGGTCTCGTCTTCGTCAACCAGATGTTGCTCGGTTGAAGTAGTCCGGGCACGCTTCCTTTGACGAGATGATGAAGGTTGTTGAGATGGGAGGGCCACTACGGTCTCCTGAGGTTGACCGGCTGGTGGTACCTCGGTTGGGTTTGTTTCGGTGAGAAGGGCTCGCACGGCTCTCTTCTTGGCCATTTCTTGTTCGGCAGTAAGTGGGATAAGGTTGATTTGAGGCAAGGATGGATCCGGTTCGGGAGAGGCTTCTAGCAGAAAGTCTGTTACCCTGGTCCTTCGTTTTCCACTGTATCGATAGGCCGGTTCAAAATTCAGCAGATCAATCCAACTCTGGTCTGGATATCGCAGAGCAGCGCGAAGCACGTTCAAGTTGGGGTAGCTGTATTGGGACTTAAGAAAGTTCCTATCTGCAAAAAAGAAGACAACATTTAGTTCGGTTCAAAATCAGAAAACCGAAATAAAGAGAAAAATGTGGTAAAGCCGAGGTAACCCTACCGACTACACCCTTGTTCCAGTTTATTCTGTGGCCTGGGATCTGGGCTTGGTGGTCTTCGAAATTCCCAGATACCCAGAAAAAATCATCATCGTTCAAGTCTTTGTCCGGTGTGTCCTTTATTATTTTTTCACACCGGTGCTTTATTCGTAAGTAGTAAACCCAGCCATCTTCGGCTGATCCTATGGAACACTGGTGGAAGAGCTCGGCTAGTCCGAGGTTAAGGCCAGCCCGGCGGTTTAGCTCGGCTATTCTGTTTATTATGCGGTAAGAATTGGTGGAAAGTTGTGTAGGGCAGAGCTTGGTTTGCCTGAGGAATTCACAGAGTAAGGGCTGTACAGGGAAGTGTAGACCGCACTCCACAATGGAAATAACATTAAAAGGGACAAAGCCCTGTTTACCCCAAGGAACGGTTTCTAGTTCGGCCAAAGAAAGGTGGACATCGTTTGGAATTTGATAGTCTTTTCGAAATTCGGCCATGGCACCGGGTGAGTTTACTAAATACCTATACTTTCCCATTTATGGTTTAAGTTATGAATAAATTATACTTGGGTGTTAGCTCGGTCGGAGAATGGTGCCGAGTAGCTCGGTTGAGTGTTCAGAGGAGTGTCTGGGCAACCTAAGTCTGCAAAGTGAAAAACAAAGGTGTTAAGCACAGACCGTTGGACCGTGCTAACAGAAATAAAGGCAAGATAAATAAAGTCCTAGCTCGGTTATATGAGATGCTACGGGTCTTAGCTCAGTTTGCGTAAGGGGCTTCTTAGTTGGATTTGAGCAGGGGATTTGTTAGCCCGGTTAAGCTTCTAGGGCAGCGTTCTTAGTTCTGTCTGAACTAGGAATGCTGGTTTAGCTCCAGAATGTAGCTTGGTCGGGATTAAGGCTTTCAAGCGTACTATTGCACAGACCTAGTCCGGTTCGTTAGCTCGGCTAGGGAGAATAAGGTACTTTGGCCTATTGGAGCTATAGGAGTGGCATGGTGTCTTAGTTCGGTCGCTTAGTTTGGCTTGGCTTTCATTAACTACAAACAACTTCTTAGTTCGGTTACGTGTTGATTTTGGATCGAAACCAGTGTTTCTCAAAGTATTTCATAAATACAAGTGGTTCTTATAAGGTTTTTCTCAGGAAAAACGCAAGGCAAAGCAAATGGAAAGAATATGTTTCGTAAACAGACAAACAAAAAGCTGTGGATTAAACAAATGCGAAAACCACAAAAGGAGACTAGATCTATATAGCTTACCAGGACAAGATAAGGGCAACAGTTGCAAGCAAAGATCACGAGCTTCATAGTTACAAGGTTGAAATGGGGGGTTCAGAGGCTTGCAAGAGAGAGAAGGTAAATAGTAAAGTGAATGATTCAAAGCGTTAGGGATTGCTTTGTGAAAAGAGAAGGGCTAAAGGCGGGAACTGTTAAAAAAAACACGAGGTACGAAGACGGCGTGACAGCTGCCTTCAGCCAGTGAGAGCATGCCACGTATCCTTGGAATGAGAAGCGATTTAGTTGCTGTGATTGACGAGACGTTTTGACCGGACAAGTACAGCCCGGCGTGGATTCAGCTCGGCTGGAAAGGCTAAAGGAGTTTTAGCTCGGCTGGAACAAGCTTAGAAGCCTAGCTTGGTAGTAAGATTAAATTTTTTAGCTCGGCTGGTAGACAAGGTAATCCCTATCACGCTGCGCAGATGGAATTAAGGGGCAATTGAGAGGGTAATTTATATGAAAATTGGGCCGAGCTGGGTAATGGGCCGTTATGGGTCACAGAACGAAGAGCTGAGTAAAAAGGCCTTAAAGTTACTCCGGTCCAAAGGAGGCTTGAAGTTACTCCGGTCCAAAGGTAAGCTGGTCGTCACGCAGAAAGTTATCCCGGTCGGGACCACGGTTATCTCGGTCGAGGCATACCATGGTTAGCATTAGGAGAAACCGGGGTAAGAGCAGTGAATGGGAGAGCCGAACTAAAGTTAGCTCGGTCTAGTCTGCGGCTTAGCATAGCCATGCTTACCTCGGTCATATTGGAGTTCGAACATGGTAAAACCATCTCACTTGGTTTAAGCAGTGAGGAGGGTGTTGAAGGATAAGCATTATCTTTCACGAGTATGACTCCTAGGAGGACTCTACATGCAGGAGTAAGAGTCCTATTAGGATTGTGCCACGCGGAACCTATAAAAGCTCATAACATCACCTATGGAGAGGTAACCCAACTTTGATTCACGAATACACAGAGCTTTTTGTCTATTTGTCTATTTTGCTGACTTAGGCAACAGAGAGGTATCCGGCATACACCCGCCGGCTAGCTCACGTTTGTATTTTCAGGGAGTAAAGTGACGTCGTACGGAGGAGTGCA